GAGTCTCGTTCTGTCATCCAGGCTGGAGTGCAGTAGAGCGATCTTGGCTCACTGTAACCTCTGTCTCCTGGATTCAAGCGATTCTTCTGCCTCAGCCTCCCAAGTAGCTGGGATTACAGGCGTGTGCCACCACGCCTGGCTAATTTTTGTATTTTTGGCAGTGGCGGGGTTTCACCACATTGGCCAGGCTGGTCTCAAACTCCTGACCTCAGGCAATCCGCCCACCTTGGCCTCCCAAAGTGCTGAGATTACAGGCATGAGCCACCAATCCCAGCCTGGATCTATTTCAATCACCCTCCTTCCTCTGCAGTCTGAAGCTTGAGGCTTTGCCCACTTCCCAAAGGCACCAGTAGCAATGACCATTTGTTCTGTCATTTGGCCATAGCTCTAGGTCAGAGGAGTGTCCTTCATCAAATGTTTATTAAGCATCCAATCTGGCCAGGGGATTACAAGGGCTAGTAATGTGCTAATTTCTTCATTCACCAAGCGCAGAGAACGGAGTAGAAGGAAGGTGGAAAGGAGAAGGAAGGAAGGAAAAGCGAGAGGAAGGAGGATAGAAAGGAAGGAAGGTGGGAGGGAGAAAGGAAAGAAAGAGGGAGTCTAAGGTTATCTAAGCCCCTCAGGACTTGGTCTGGTCCTCACAGTCCAAGAACAGACTTGGGCTTCAGCCTCTGACCAGTCAGATGACTGAGAAGTTGAGGAACAGCTTGAGCCTCAGTTTTTTCCTCTGTAAATGGGGTTGATAGCAGTTCTGACCCAGAGGGCTATAGCAATTCTGACCCAGAGAGCCCCCCAACAGAGGGCTGTTGGGGAAGTCACAGAGATGCTGGGTGTTGCCTTTGCACTCAAAAGCGTCCAGGCCAGCTGTGGTGGCTCACACCTGTAATCCCAGTACTTTGGGAGGCTAAGGTGGGAGAATCTCTTGAGTCCATGAGTTAGAGACCAGCCTGGGCAATATGGAGACAATCTGTCTCTACAATTTTTTTTTTTTTTCCAAAAAGTAGCCAGGCATGGAGGTGTGCACCTGTAGTTCTGGGAGTCTGAAGTGGGAGGATAACTTCAGTACAGGAGGTTGAGGCTGCACTGAGCCATGATCACACCACTGTACTCCAGCCTGGGTGACAGAGCCAGACTCTATCTCAAAAAAAAAAAAAAAAAAAATTCAAAAGGGTCCAGTATGCATCTTACTGTCAGCTTACCCAAGGGAGCATGATAAATTGAGTCCCTGACATGTGGACATGGGGAGTATAGGGGGAGGGAATGGCAAAGGCACCACAGGCAGAAGGACCAGCCTGGGCATGGTGGGGGGCGTGATGTGGCACAGCACTGATTGTGGGAAGCAAGGGATGTGGGAGATGAGGCTTCAGGTTGTCAGAGGGAGGTTGAGGCAGAGCCTCACCTGCATACTCTAGACAGGGTCCAACTCCTGATACCCAGCTTCCTAGCCCAGTGACGGGCCACTTCTCTCAGGGCCACAGTTTTCTCTCCTATCAAATAGAACATCTCAGCACTGCTCTGTGGTGCCAGTGAAGGGTATAAGTGTCCGGTGCCCAGCTGGCCATTTCCTGCCCCAGCAGAGGCATTTGCTTTTCCTTGTCCTCTTGCCTACTGGGAATTCCTTCCATCCCCGGTTCCTCCACCAGCTTCTGTGAGGCCCCTCCTATGAGCCCCCACACCTCACTAAACCCTCAACACCCTCTGGTGTTTTCCTTGGTGCCTCCTCAGGATGCTGCGAGCTCCTTGGGGGCAGGTGGTGCCTGTGTATCTCTCTTTTTTTTTTTTTTTTTTTTGAGACGGAGTCTCGCTCTGTCGCCCAGGCTGGAGTGCAGTGGCACAATCTCAGCTCATTGCAAGCTCTGCCTCCCGGGTTAATGCCATTCTCCTGCCTCAGCCTCGGGAGTAGCTGGTACTATAGAGGCCCGTCACCGCGTCTGGCTTTTTTTTTTTTTGTATTTTTAGTAGAGACGGGTTTTATTGTGGTCTCAATCTCCTGACCTCGTGATCCACCCGCCTAGGCCTCCCAAAGTGCTGAGATTACAGGTGTGAGCCACCGTGCACGGTCCTGAGTATCTCTTTTTCTGGACCTGGGCCCAAGGCCTAATAGATGAGTGCCCAGGACTCCATGCTGACTGGAGGAAGGAACAGCATGTGGTCAATGTGAGCAGAAGGGCCGGTAGTCCAGGAGGAAAAAGCAGTCACTTCTTTTTAAAAAAATTTATTACGTTTTTTTTTATTTTGAGATGGAGTCTCACTCTGTCACCCAGGTTGAAGTGCAATGGCATGATCTTGGTTCACTGCAACCTCCACCTCCTGGGTTTGAGCGATTCTCCCACCTCAGCCTCCCAAGTAGCTGGGACTATAGGTGCGTGCCACCACACCCGGCTAATTTTTGTATTTTTAGTAGAGACAGGGTTTCACTATGTTGGCCAGGCTGGTCTTGAACTCCTGACCTTGTGATCTGCCTGCCTTGGCTTCCCAAAGTGCTGGGATTACAGGCATGAGCCACTGCGCCTGGCCTATTTATTTTTGTAGATATGGTGGTCTTGCTATGTTGCCCAGGCCAGTCTCGAATTCCTGGCCTCAAGTAATCCTCCCGCTTCAGCCTCCTAAATTGCTGGGATTATAGGTGTGAGACTGTGCCCAGCCAAAAGAGTCCACTTCTTTTTTTCTTTTCTTTTCTTTCTTTCTTATTTATTTATTTATTTTTTTGAGACATGGTCTTACTCTTTCACTCAGGCTTGAGTGCAGTGGCACAATCATGGCCCACTGCGGCGTCAATGGCGTCAATCTCACAGGCTCAAGTGATCCTCTCACCCCAGCCTCCCAAATAGCTAGAATTACTTGGCCATCACACCTGGCTAATTTTTTTCATTTTTATTTTTTGTAGAGCTGGGGTCTCCCTGTGTTGCCCAGGCTGGTCTCAAACTCTTGGGCTCAAGCAATCCTCCTGCCCTGGCCTTCCCAAGTGCTAGGGTTACAGGCATGAGTCACCATGAGGTTACTTCTGATGGGAGGCTTGGGGAGATGGCACAGAAAGGATAGGTGTGTATGAACAGGGTTTGGCTGAGTGGAGGGGATTGGGTATGACTAGAAGTCACGCCTACTAGAGGGAGGAATGAAGGTTTTAGAACGAGAGAGGGGCCCCAAAGGCCAGGCCGCCCTTCCACTGGGACTGGGTACGTTTCCTGAGTGCTTGTTTAGCAAAAGCACTTTGCAGCTCAGCGGCTTGGCTCCCCACTTGCAAAGTGCAAGAGAGTCATCTTGCAGGCAGCGGTGAGGATGTAAGAAGATGCCATGGTAAAGGCTAGTCCTTGACATTGAGCCTCTGATGATCCCACTCTCTATTCTCAGCTTAGCACATCGGGTCGAAGGTATGAATTGTGCTTCCTCATCTGGCTTGGAATTTCTCAGAGTAAGGGTCCCTTTCCTCTGTAATTCTCCACAGAGGAAAGCAGTTCTCAATAAAGCTATGTTTTTCTTTTGTCCTGGGCTCAGTAAGGGCAGGCCCGGTGCTCACAGTAGACCCCAGAGTCAGTCCCAGGCTTCCAAGTCCACCATGACCCTAGGGAGCTGATGGGGTCCCTCATACATACGCTGAATGTGTATTGAACTTCCAGTGTACTGGCCTTGGGGGAGGTAAAAGGCAGGCAGAATGGCTGCTCACATGAGGCTTGTCATCTAGTTTCTCCCTCCTTTCCTGTGTCAAGCCTGGGCTCCCAAGATGAGTGTGAGGCCAGCCTTATTCCAGGATATATTATTTCCAGTTCCCTTTCCTTCTCTCCTTTCAGGGGAAACCCACTGTTCTTTTTTTTTTTTTTTTTTTTGAGACGGAGTCTCGCTGTGTCTCCCAGGCTGGAGTGCAGTGGCGTGATCTCGGCTCATTGCAAGCTCCGCCTCCCGGGTTCATGCCATTCTCCCGCCTCAGCCTCCCGAGTAGCTGAGACTACAGGCGCCCGCCACCACGCCCGGCTAGTTTTTTGTATTTTTAGTAGAGATGGGGTTTCACCGTGTTAGCCAGGATAGTCTCGATCTCCTGACCTCGTGATCCACCTGCCTCGGCCTCCCAAAGTGCTGGGATTACAGGCTTGAGCCACCGCGCCCGGCCGAAACCCACTGTTCTTATAAATGGAGAAAAATGTCCAAGCCCAGTGACTCACACCTATAATCCCAGCACTTTGGGAGGCCAAGGTGGGTGGATTGCTTGAGGTCAGCAGTTTGAGACCAGCCTGGCCAAAAATGCTAAAACCCTGTCTCTACCGAAAATACAAAAATTAGCTGGGCATGGTGGCAGGTGCCTGTAATCTATGCTACTCAAGAGGCTGAGGCAGGAGAATCACTTGAACCTGGGATTCAGAGGTTGCAGTGAGCTGAGATCATGCCATTGCACTCCACTCTGGGTGACAGAGTGAAACTGTGTCTCAAAAAAAAAAAAAAAAAAAAGAGAACTCCTTAAGAAGGTCTGAGTATATTCTGAAGCTATGTTCTTCTCTCTTCTTTGCTCCCTGAGGTCCAAATCAGTGTCACCTCTTTGCCTGAACGATTGCAACAGGTTTCCAAGTGGCCCCCTGCTCCCCTTCTTATCCCCTTACCCACCTCCATTCCCCATTCCAATCAGAGTACTTTGTTTTTTTTTTTTTTTTTTTTTAAGACGGAATCTCTGTCGCCCAGGCTGGAGTGCAGTGGCGTGGTCTCGGCTCACTGCAACCTCTGCCTCCCAGGTTCAAGCAATTCTCCTGCCTCAGCCTCCTGAGTAGCTGAGATTACAGACGCCCGCCACCACGCCCGGCTAATTTTTTGTATTTTTAGTAGAGCCAGGGTTTCACCACGTTGGCCAGGCTGGTCTGGAACTGCTGACCTCGTGATCCACCCGCCTCGGTCTCCCAAAGTGCTGGGATTACAGGCGTGAGCCACCGCGCCCGGCCAACTATTTTATGCAATCAATATTTATTATTTGCCTACTACGTGCCAGGCACTGGTTGTAACTGTCATCTGATTGGACGATCCGTAAACGCTGCGGCTCAGCCTGTGCGGTTCACTTGTGTTCCTCCACGCGCCTCCGAGCACGCTGGGAAGCATACAGTAGGTGCTCTGCTCCGCTCCTGTGCCCCGCCCCGCGGCCCCTCCCCCGCTCCAGGAAGTGCGGGGGCTCCAGCCGCCCGGCCGGCCGCGATGCATTCTGGGGAAGGAGCAGCACCAAATCCAAGATGGCGGCCAGCAGGAGGCTGATGAAGGTAAAAGCCATTCTCTGGCCTCGGTCGGGCGTGGGGCGGCGTCCCAGGCTCCGGACCCCCGAGGCAGGCAGCGGCCTCTCAGGGCGCTGCCGTCTGGCCTCCTGCCCTACACGGCCTCGTCGGTTCCCTGGGCCGCGCGCAGGCTCAAGGAGCTAACGGGGCTGGCCTAGGCCGCAGCCTGGGCGGGAGCGCCAGGCCGCGCTGGGAGCCACTGTTGGCCCCCTCAGCCCGGCCCGGGGCGTTCACGCCACCCTCCGCCCGGAGCGTGGCCGCGTCCCCCTGTCGCGGAGGCCGCGGTCCGACGCGAGGGCGTCGTTAATGTGAGAGCCCGGTTGGGAGGCTCCAAACTGAGCGCCTTCGGGGAAGGCCCGAGCGCCGGAGCCCCTGCCCGGAGCCCGTGCCGCGGAACCGCCCCGCCCTGGGCCTCAGCGAGCCGGGCTTGCAGCTCCGCTTGGCCCAGCCGCAGCTCGGAACTCTGGAAGGCTCGGGCTAGGAGAGCGGGGAGGAGGCCAGGCGGCCAAAGTTAGGTCAGTTTGTTGGTGGGTCGTTTGGAATTGCGCTGGGTCCTAGCAAACTGTCGCCTTGTGACTGCAGAGTCACACAGCGGGCAAGTTCCAACTCCAGGAAGGCCTGAGGTCGGCCCCCATCGCGGCGCGGTTCTCCTTCCCTCTCCTCCACTCAGTCATCTCGATCTCCCTTCCCTGATAAAGCAAAATGCCATTTTTTGGTGGGTAACGGTTGGTTTCAGTCGTTCGAATCAAAACGGGCCAAAGTTTATAATAATAACTTGGTACTTTGGATCTTGAATGCAGCAGGGTGCTTTCTTGCTACTTGGCACCTTTTAGTGAGGAACACATTAGCTAAATTGGCTTAGTTCTTTTGCCAGTGGATTTGCCAACGTCCTCCGGAGTCCCCTCTGCCAGCATCTGTGAGTCGGCGGCTGGCTAGTGCAGCCGGCCTGCAACGGGCCGGAAATTAAAAAAAGGCCCCGGAGCCGGTTTCCTGAGGGGAGATAAAGAGCTGGGGTTCGTTCTGGGCAGAGCAGTGTTTGGTAGAACTAGACATTGAACTTGGAGCCACAGTCTCTGAGCCCTCCCTGCCTCCCTGGGAACGTTTCCTTTCTTTTGTTCCCTAAGGGCTAGAGAGGACATTAACTTTATAAAACTGGAGTGGAAGTGGGCACAAAAGAAAACTCAGAGGACTTCTGACTTCTCATCTCTTAAGCTAGTGACACCACCATTCACCAGATAAGGGGTCGGTTAATGGCTTTCTTTCCTACCCTACTCCCAGGTGCAGTCGTCCTTCAACCCTTGTGGATTTAAATTTAGAAAGTTTTCTGGAGTGCAGGCCGGGCGCGGTGGCTCACGCCTGTAATCCCAGCACTCTGGGAGGCCGAGGCGGGCGGATCACTTGAGGTCAGGAGTTCAAGACCAGCCCGGCCAACATGGTGAACTCCTGTCTCTACTAAAAATATAAAAATTAGCTGGGCGTGGTCGCATTCGCCTGTAATCTCAGCTACCCGGGAGGCTGAAGTGGGAGAATCGTTTGAACCTGGCAGGTGGAGGTTGCAGTGAGCCAAGTTTGCGCCACTGCACTCCAGCCAGGGCGACAGAGTGAGACTGCATCTCAAAAACAAACAAAAAAAAGATTTCTGAAGTGCATGACTTGCTTTCTAATGTTACTGAAATTACTCTGAATCTGTATCCTCATCTCTCGGGTGCCCTCCGGAGTGCTCTCCTCCCCAGACTACCCCTCACGGACACCAGAGTTCTTTTAAGGCAGATAACTCAATTCTTTTCACTCCTGTTAAAAATGTCTATGGTCTTACTGTCCTCAGCAGTTAATCCTAACCTCTTACTTGGCATGCAAGACCTTTCTGAGACTGACGGAAAGCAATCAGTTGAGCCTCACCTCCTGCCCTTTGGTTTCCCACCATTCTTGCACCTAATCGCAGTAGCTACTATTTTTCCAGCTTTTACTTCGTGCTTTATATGCATGATCATGTTTAATCCTTCCTGTGAAGTAGACATTGTGATTTCCATTTTGTCGATGAGAAAAGATTATTTGGCTTGCCCTGGGTTACCTAGCTAGGGAGAGTGAGCTGTGATCGAACTGGGTTCTTTCTCCAAAGCAAAGTCTCCTGCTCTTACTTGCCCTCTGGTGTCTCTTTGCACGTGTCGTTTGCTCTGCCCCAAAAAAGTTGCCTTCTCCTCACTTCTCCCTTCCAGAGAAGTCCCAGGTTCAACTCCAATGCCAACTGCTCTGTGAGCCCCTGCTTCCACATCCCCCTTCAGAATGAGTTGTTTCCTCCTCTGTGTGACCACAGCACTTTATGTTTCTCTTTGAGCACTTGTCACAATCTCTTTGTGTTACAGACTTGTCTTTCCTATACTGGGTTCTGAGATCCCGAAGGGCAGGGATCTTGACCTAATTCATCCTGGAAGCCCCCTAGCCTATCCCAGTTGACCCAGTTTGGAATCCCCAGGCTCTCAGGGGTCTAAGAGGGGACTTATTACGGGTTTAAAATTATTACTCTGTTTCTAAAAAAAATAGACCTTGGAAAAGAATTTGTAACATTAACTGAGTATTTATTAAATATTAGGTTATTTACATAAGTTATCTTTTCAACACTCCAAGTTAGTGTATTGTCGTTTTTATGTTTTTACAAATGAGGACATTGTGAGGTTAACTAGGTTAAGGGAGTTACCTAAGGTAGAATCGTAGAATGTGGTGGGGAGGGAGAAGACACTGACTCTTCCTGTCTTTAGTACCCAAATTCCATGCCTCTTGTCAGGCTGTCTTTCTTACTCAAAGGCTGCATGGAGCGGTGTGTTGTTTCTTAAGTTGAGGATGGAAAGGCTTTCAGTTCACTAGGGGAACGCCAGTTATGTAATGCTGATCATTGGCTGTGAGAGTCAATGTTTAAGACTGGGTAGTTTTTTTTTTTTTTTTAAAGAAGAAAAATTATTGATACAAGTTCATCAACAGTCTTTTCAGTACATGGGGTGGAAATAAAGTGATTTTCGTTGGTGAAAAATTGGGACTTAGTGCATAGAACAGTGCCTTAGGCATAGCAATCTAGCAAATGTTGAATGATCAAATTAATTACATCTTTTTTTTTTTTTTTTTGAGACGGGGTCTCGCTCAGTAGCCCAGGCTGGAGTGCAGTGGCCAGATCTCAGCTCACTGCAAGCTCCGCCTCCCGGGTTCACGCCATTCTCTGGCCTCAGCCTCCCGAGTAGCTGGGACTACAGGCGCCTGCCACCTCGCCCAGCTATTTTTTTGTATTTCTTAGTAGAGACGGGGTTTCACCGTGTTAGACAGGATGGTCTCGATCTCCTGACCTCGTGATCCACCCGTCTCGGCCTCCCGAAGTGCTGGGATTATAGGCTTGAGCCACCGCGCCCGGCCAAATTAATTATATCTTAAAGAACTTTAGATTTCTGTTAAAAATGTTTTCTAGGACATTCCACAGCAAAGATTTCTTTGTAACAATGGACTGCAGATAGTGTAAAACACATTATTAAAAGTAGAGTGATTTGCATATACTACACTGAGAAGTTATTTTAGGCAAAGTGAGTATGATAAAGTCTTTTATTTCAAAAGCATTTGCCAAGAGGATTAACCTCTTTTAGAACCCTTTTTAGGAATTATAGTGTTAATAAAACACTAAGTACATTTTAATTTGCAAGCAGCTAATTTAGCATTGTTGGCCACAACCAGATTGTAACCATTGCTTCAATCAGGATGGGGAAATTGCTACAAAAGCCAAAAGTGAAACCTTTATGTGTGGCTTAGGCAACTGATTGCCATCTGATCATTTCTTTGCAGCTTCACACTGCACACACTTCCCCCAAGGGCCCATTGAGTAGCTTCCCAGAAGGGCTTTTCTCAGAAGGGAAATCTGTGGATTTAGAGGGGTGTGTGTGTAACATCTTATTACTTATCATGATGTAACTGTTGAGTTAAGGAGTTTCGCTCTTGTTACCCAGGCTGGAGTGCAATGGCATGATCTCTGTGCACTACAACCTCTGCCTCTCAGGTTCAAGCGATTCTCCTGCCTCAGCCTCCCAAGTAGCTGGGACTATAGGTGTGCACCACCATTCCCTGCTAATTTTGTATTAGAGAGGGGGTTTCACCATGTTGGCCAGACTGGTCTCGAACTCCTAATCTCAGGTGATCTGCCTGCCAAGGCCTCCCGAAGTGCTGGGATTATAGGTGTGAGCCACTGTGCCCGGCCTAATGCTGTTTAAAAATGTTCACTCAGAACTTCATATTGTTATTCTTTCTCCCAGTCCATAGTCATAGTAGGAGGAGCCTATAAAAGTTCATTCCTTGGGTTTCGTTGTATTAAGCAGTGAGGTAGTTTGCTTTTGAGTATAGGTTTAGATTCTGAGGTTGGGTAATTAAGAAGATAGAGCAATGAGTGTGTCTAGTAGTTGTGTCACATGGGTCAGGAGTTGAGGGGAGTTTTATATGTGATGTTATGCCAGTGTAAATGTCCTGAATCCACTGAGGCTTTGTGAATTGAGAAAAACGTTGCATCTTTTAGTCTAAATTCATGCATTCCAGTAAGTTGGGACTGTTTCAGCCTCCCTTAATGATATTCTTTGTAAATGTTTGGGACAGGTGATGGGAAGGAGTATACTCAATTATTGCAACATTTGGGGCCTTTTAAGGTATTTACTAGAAAACTCTGAGACAGGCCAGGCGCGGTGGCTCACGACTGTAATCCCAGCACTTTGGGAGGCCCAGGCGGGCGGATCGTGAGGTCAGGCGTTCCAGACCAGCCTGGCCAACATAGTGAAACCCCGTCTCTACTAAAAATACAAAAAATTAGCTGGGCGTGGTGGCGGGTGGCTGTAATCCCAGCTACTGTGGAGGCTGAGGCAGGAGAATTGCTTGAACCCAGGAGGTGGAGGTTGCAGTGAGCCAAGGTTGTGCCATTGCACTCCAGTGCGAGACTCTGTCTCAAAAAGAAAAAAACAAAAAAACACCCT